AATTAGTATTTTGATCATTGTGTAAAGTAACGGCCCATTTGAAGAGACCCGTGAAGCCTAAACTGTGACCACATGAATTCGGCTTATAATCAAGAAAACTATTTTTCAAGACTTCTTAATCTTTATATATATCGGCTGGGTGGCCGAGTGGTCTAAACTGAGCAAATCTCAAGTTGGTGGTCTGGAGTTCAATTCCAGCTAGAGCAAAAACACCACCAGCACCCCGGGTAGATGGGACTCGCTAACCCTGGACGGCAACTCATCTAAGAGAAGGAAACTCTGAAATCTGAGTCCCGAAAGGCGGATAACATTGATACAATGAAACATTCCGACAACTCCTGCGACGTCACTGGTGCCAAGCTGTATCATCCAATGATGTTCCCTTGGGTTACCCAGCGGCGTGGAGAGAGGCGATTTGCTGTTGGGAACCAGCTTATAATACTTCAAGTATAATAATCCCAGGCTATGTGGATTTCGTCCTACGAAGCCCACTCCATCGTCACATTGTGACGGACGGATGCCAGCAAAAAAATATCGGCAATAGTCATGGGGGATATGATAATATGAACTACATATCCCCCTTGACAACATGAACTACATATCCCCCTAAACAATATCAACTAAATTTCCCCATGTCAATATCAACTACATATCCCCGTTGAAAAAATATCAAGTAAAAAATGAAGATAAGGAATCTATTTCTCTTTGTTTGCAGCTTCTTCTGAAGAATTCTGATGGCAGTTTTTCAAGTGCTTCGTGGTTGACAAAGACATGGGTGAAATCTCTGCTATAAATGATCTGTTTCCAAATGTACCTGTTAATCTACGTCATTTTCACATTAACCAGGCGGTGCACAGGTTTCTCTCGAAACATGTAGGTCGTGAGCAGGTTCAGCCAATTCTTGAAGGATTTATGTCTTAAGCTTATACTGAGTTGTGTGATAATTATTTTAAGACATGAAAGTTACTTTTCCTGATGTAGCTTTAGAGTATTTTGAGTCGAACTGGTTGAGTAAGGCCCATTTATGGGCAGCATCATCCAATCCAATACTGATGTTGTAAGACTCCATGCACCAACAACAAATCACTCGAGTCTTATCATTCAAAAATAAAAAGAGTTTGACTCATTATTTTTTCTTTTTCATCTGCTCTTTTTAACCTTATGTCTTTTGACAACTGCAAAATTACAGTATGTGATCGTTTGAGATTGCTTGCTGCTGAAGAGCTCAGTATACGTCATCTGATAATGATGAAAAGTGTAAATAAGATTGAAAGTGTTGCTAATTTCTTTGCTGCTGCTCTATTGCTCAAATCAGCTCAAATTGTCACGATCTGTTCCGTACTCTGTTGTCCCTGGAGAGGCAGAATTTTTTTCAGTAGCTTATAAGGAACGTATTTTTAGCTCAACATCAGTTCAATGTAATTGTTTATTTGCTAAAAAGATGGCATTACCTTGCAGACATATTTTTTCAGTTCGAAGACATTTACAGCGTCCAGAATTTTGTTCAGAATTAATTCCATGCCGTTTTAACAAAAATAGTGTTCCTAGATTTGTCGCTTCTACTTCTAATGGTTCAGTAACTTATCATAGTGTATCAAGAAAACATATTTTTAATACTCAAGGGGGTCGGTTTACTCATGCTAAAAGAATTTGTATGGACTTGGCAAATTTTTTGGTGATGCAAGGACAACAAGATTTTATAGAGAAAATATCCTTTCTTGAAACTACTATAAGTCTCTGGAGAAGTCCAGCAAATTTAGATGAAAATGAATCAGCATCAAAGTTTGTTCGATGAATGTGGACCCAAAAGCAAGTTTAGTTCAAAGGGAAGTATTTGATTTTGTCGTGCATGAAAATGACATTCGTTTGTCCCATGAGGAAAATGTTTCTGCAAATATTGGAGAGGTTTTTTCAACTGAAACTAGCATTGATACTTTTACTACTTTTAGAACTCTTAAATTTAACAAAGTTCGTCCAAAGGTGAGACCTAAGGCAAATCAAAATTTTACTCGTAAGTGAAACATATAGTTGCCCCAACCAGTCTCCAAGTTGAGCCCTGATTTTTAGAAAGAAATGTTCTTTCAGCTGTTGAACAAACTGATTTCTCTATTCCAATTGTTGAAAGTAATGTAAAACACTGATTTCCATGATACCATTCTTGGCGATGCCGTCAATTTAAATATTGCCATCTTTTGCTGATGATGCATGCTCATAGGTGCATCACTCATTGTTAGGTTTAAAGGCTAATCCTTGATTTCGTTGTGCAGAGTGTCAAGAGTTTGATGATTGCCTTGTTAAAGATGGTCGGTTGTGAACGTTGTGTTTGTTGGTTTCATTTGGATTGTGTTGGCTTCAGTTCCAAAAATAAAACTCTCAACTTGGTTTTTGCAAAGATTGTTGGGATTTCTCATAGTTCTTAAACATTCTTGTTGCTTGTTGCTGGTAATAAATAATACCTGTTGAGACTAAATATTGCACCACTGTTTCCTTTACTTGAAATGTGTTCCATGTCTAAAGTACAAAATTAGTTTGCTGTGAATTTATTTTGATGATAAATATATTAATTTCAAATTGTAAGTAAAACGTGTACTTAGTAGTTTTTGTATGACTGGAAAAAATATTTAATTGCTACATTATTGTGCAAATGCCTTGCTGAGATAATCATTGTTGACCTGTTCTTGAAAATTTATTTTCTCTCTTAATTCACAAATAATGAAATGGTTCCGAAAGATTTTCAACTACTTTTATAAATATGTGAATGAATGTGATTAATGGGATGAAAATTATAAATTTTTATTGTGTAAATACCCATTTTTATTATATTTCTTGTGCAGATTTTTGTTTCTTTAAACTTACATCTATTGATTTATTATTAAAAACATTAACTTTTTCTACAATATTGTGTACAATTTGTAAAGATAATTTACTTTGTTTTTTTTTTTCAAAAAAATGTTTAAGTCTGTAGTAAATTCTCATATGCCTTGCTGAAATTGTTTTTGTAAAATATTTTATTGTTTTCACCTTTGCCTGATAATTTCACATTGATATGCTTTAAATTTCATAATGCTTTACTCCTATAATTTTAAAATTGCTGAATTTAAGTTTTTGTTTTCAAATGAAATAACATGGACTTTTTGTCACTTTTTGATATTTAAAAAAAATTCTGCTTCAGTATTTAAAAAATTGAAAAAAAATGTATTTTCATTATTGTGACAACCCTAAAAAAAACCAGTGTATTTATTATATGTTTAAACTGGCTGTGTGAGCAAGGGATTTGAAAGTCCCAACTAAGTTATTTTAGAAGAAATAAGGTATCAAAACTACACTTATGAGTAGTAAATGTCATCTAAAACTTCTATCCATAGTCTTATACTTATTACACAGTAAGTGACTCTGTTAAGGTTATCATTATTTTATTTTCAATGTGGCATGGCTTAGTACCCTTGAAACCAAACTCCCTTCACACCTCACATAGTTGTCCCCTCTCAATCATTACCTCTGTACTTAAATGAAGAAATAATACAAACAATAGTTAACTGTCCTGGTACCAACAAGAAAGGTGAGAAAGTAAAAGGAGACAAATGGCAAAGGAAAGATGTGACCTCATCGAATGAGTTTATTGGCTGCCTACTCCATACTGGCCCCTAATTTATTTTATGGATTACTTGAGTACACAACTCAAATAACTAACAACCAAACAAAAATGTTCTCAAGCCAGTTAAGGGTTTTTTTCCTATTAATTTTAAATTATGTACCAGTGTGTTAGGCCCAGTAGACAGATATGGTAAAAAAAAGACTAGTCCTCCAAAAATAAGCCTCTTTCTCATTCTTTAAACAATGACATCCTTTAAGATGTCATTCCAACTACCTAGTGAATTAGATCAAGTCAAATATGAGAACGATTGTTGATAGGAGAATCGAGATATCAGGAAAACTAGCCAGTGTCCGCATGTATGACTCCCAGTGCCAAGGAAAAGGTTTAAACTTGGTGGTTTTGTTCTGACTAAGTCAAGCTCTCTTTAGAGGAATAGTTGAAATTAATTCATTATAAATGAAACTTTCATTATTTAGAATTCCTAATTAATTCATAAAGTTAAAGTACTGTGTGATTAAATCTTTTAACTTAAACAATACACATAAATAATCTTAAATAAAGGATTTAATTTTAATAATTAAATTAAAATTATTACTTTTCTAAAATTCAAATGAAAACAATAAAACTATATAAAACATTTTGATTACTAGATTTAAAAAAAAAAAATTGATCTACGAAAATGGCTTAAACTTAAACTAAATAAAAAAAAAATAATTAAAAAGAAAAAAAAAAATACAGGTACAAAGAAATTAACAGTGCAAAAAGAAAAAAAAATAATTAAACAGAATAAAACTATGAATCTATGAAATAGCAAAGAGATATTTTTTTTTTTTTTTTTAAATTCTCATACTATTATTTTTATCACACCCGGTTCCGAAACGAATTAACCTTTACGGAACCAAAAAAAAAAAAAATAAAAATAAAAATAAAATAAAAAAAAAAAAAAAAAAAAAAATAATTAAACAGGATAAAACTATGAATCTATGAAATAGCAAAAAGATATTTTTTTTTTTTTTTTTAAATTCTCATACTATTATTGTTATCACACCCGGGTCCGAAACGAATTAACCTGTACGGAACCACTCCGGGTCCGAATAGCCATATATAGCTATAGGTACCCGACTACTTATAGCCGCAGCCTTTGGCTATATTATGAAAGTAGTCCAGGTTTGAGGTTAGAAGGCGTGGCTGGCATAGGAAGCGTGTGTGAACACGGGAGACACGCGTTTTGTGGAGTGGGGGAAACGGGGCAGAACGATTCTGAAAGTGAAAGTGCTGTACAGTGATACCATGATGCGTAGATTTTCGGCTAAGTTTGGTAGCGACACCTGCTGGAACTTATTGGATTATTTGTGTTAGAATGTGTACTGCTCACACCGTGGGTGAATTGTGTTAGGATATGTACTAAAGACAACGCAGGTGGATAGTGTTAGGATATGTACCGATGACACCGTAGGTTAATAGTGTAAGTGTATGCACTGGTGACACCGTAGGTTAATTATTTTAATGTATGTACCGGTTAATTGTGTTATAGTAATAAAAGTTTAAAAAAATATTCATTGAATGGTCTTTGTGCCAAGTGTCATTCATGTCAACTGGTGGAAGATTGACACCCTGGACAGCGCAACTCAATTCTCGACAAGTGACAACATGAACCACATTTGCCATGCAACCATCCACTAAGCATTGTCGTTTAAACCTTCAGCAGCAGGTTACCATGACAACATCCACTTATCATTTCCGAAACTACATCTATTTGACGTAACCATGGCAACATTAACTACACTTTACCGTGAAATCATCCATTCCACGTTACCATGACAAGGTAAACCACACGTTACCATGACAACATCCACTAAACTTTACCATGAAATCATCCACTCCAGGATATCTTGACAATGTATTAGCACCTTTATACGAAAACAATTACTGAACTTTCATTTTCAATATTTAATCTCTTCCCCCCCCCCCCCTGATTTTGCTTGGTCTAGTTTAGTGTAAAATTTACTGAACTTTCCTTTTCAATATTTAATCTCCTCCCCCCCCCCCCTGATTTTGCTTGGTCTAGTTTAGTGTAAAATTTAGCCGTCAAGCAAATAATTCTTAGTAAGTGAACATCAACATGTAGAATGACAATCTAAAGCTACCTATGCTGAAATGGAGTCAGTTTTAAAATTGTGACGCTTTATATTAAGTCCTTAGGCGTCAAAAAAAAAAAAGGTTTCATACTAAATAGGTCAGATGTCAAATAAATAAAATAATTCTAAATTGACTTGCATGATTTCAACACCCTATTAAATATTATCCTTTGAGAACGATTCATGAGATTCTTTTCTTAATGGAAAAAAAATGTTTACGACTAACTGGAATCTTTAACTGTTTTGACCATGTTTGTATCAAGTGCCTTGGTTGAATGGAATATGTGTCAGTTTCCTTTCCGTGTCCTCTGAGGCACAACATTCTACCTGGTTTAAAAATACTTCTGCGTTGGACTTATCATGACTGGAGCGCGGTGCAAAACGTCAGTGTGCTATATCGACCGAAACCAAAAAAACAACACCGAGCGACAGGTCAAGGTAGAACGCATTAAACTGTCTACGCATATACAAAATACTGTTGTTTTTTCTTCAAAAGTGCACTACATTATATATATAATGACAATAATATATATATATATTACCTCACCAAATCAAGCAGATAGATTTTTTAAATTTTTTAAGACACGAATTTTGCGATACGTGATATATTTATAGGAGCCTTAGAAGATTTGACTCTTTGTATTTGTCTATATTAGTAGTTGTAACTTTCGAGGATTGTACTTTTTCACTTGCTTTGCTGCCGGTTGATACAGTTTTGATTATTGTATATTTGAAGTTGTGTTATTATGTACATATAATTGTGTGTTCAATTGAATATGGTTTATATCAGAAACTTCCGTACCCGTCATTCTTTGTATACTGGTTGTCAGTCTTTTGTGAAGTATTGTTCATGTAACGAGACAAATTTTACAACCGGTTAAATGTATTTAACTTTTTAACGGTACTTACGATTATTTAAAAAAAAAAAAATCTGCCTTATCGATGTTACCATCACTGGTCAAAATTCCGTCAACTCATTTGTGCACGAAGCCAAGTTGCTATAAATTAGACTGATTTATTCAATCGATGCGACCATTGTCCCACCGCACTACATTTTTTTTTTTTTTTTTTTGTAATCAATCCTTTTATTCAATTTTGATCCTTTCAAACCACTACATTTTTTTTTTTTTTTTTTGTAATCAATGCTTGTAATCAATATTGATCCTTTCAAACCCTCTATCGCTGACGTAAAAGTCGCTTCTATTATTATATATTCGACCTACTTGTACAGATATTCAGGGGTCTTAATATCATATATTAGACTTCTTGTACAGATATTCAGGGGTCTTAATATCATATATTAGACCTACTTTTTACTGATGTGTTAGACGTTACATCAACTATTAGACCAGCTTTCATTGAAGTTAGAGTAGCTACTTCATACATTTGCACCAGCCAGCTATTGATGCAAAACGTGTCGCTATGACATAAATAAATATTAGACCTGCCTACCATTGTTGACATGGGGGTTAGCTTTCTCATATATAAGACCCTCTCTCATGAAACGAATGCAGCAATAAGACATCTTAAATCAGACATTGCTGATAGGATGTTGTTGCTCAAATGAGTGTAAATGTATAACATAAAAGAAAACCCTTATTGCTTTAACGATGTTAGTTATATCGCAAGGAATTAGACCTACTATTACTGAATTCTAAGTCGGTCAAAATATGTAAGCATCGAAACTGGTACCATAGGTCGTTTTATAAACTTCATTTGGTTGGTCGTTTTATTAAAAAAATATTTTTTCCTTTGTAAGAAAGTGTTGAGAATCACTCCATCAACTCTCGGCTAAATCTTTGTGATAGCAACTAAAGTAATAACAAGATTTTGAGACACAGTCCATTTTAGCTGGCCATTTCTAGGAATGAGTGGTGTATTCGCGTAAGTGTTGACAACCACTCCGTATTCGCGGAATCGATCCCGTTCTAGCAATACGATGCGTCAGCTCATACAGGATATAAATGCACTGGTGCAGTGCTTCTCAAATTACAGGTGTGCATCCCATCAGACGTGTGCCACGGTATGTGGTTTGACAAAAAGATGTAGGAGGAGGGTGTGAAGTGGGTGGTCAATCTGAGGCGGCACTTTATTTCTTTATGTGATGGGGCGTCATTTTCGGTCCATTGCAGAGATATTTGTTTTTTTCGTTTTTTTTTTTTTGAAACAGGTCCTTAATATGTGTCATCATAAAAATAACTAAAAGAAAATATAGGACGGACACACGACTGGACAACTTGAGTTTTCGTCGTAGAAAGACACTGTCCTAGGTATTTCTTACTTGTGTTTTGCTTACGTACGGGCCTTTATTAAAACAGTTGATGTTCGAGACAGCAGTGAGGGATATCATCATCAACTGTTGTGCTCGCAATGAAGAATATGCGAGCTCTGATTCTGCTTGGCATCTATGTTTGCCTACAATCTGCTTACGGTAAGTTAACAAGCAATATCTTTCAATAAGGAAATAATTTTAAAAAAAACAGGGATTTAATGGTAAGAGATGTCAAAGATGTCTTTTAGAATTTGACGATTAGAAGCACATGATAAGCTTTTTGAATTCGATAATGAGCACATGATAAGCTATTTGAATTAGATGATAAGGAGCATATAATAAGATGTTTGAATTCAATGATAAGTAACACACAATAAGCTTTTTGAAATCGATGATAAGGAGAACATGATACGCTCTTTGAAATTGATGATAAGTCTCGCATGTGAATCCATCGATTTTCAAAAATAAAATGAGAATTCCGTTTAAAGGCAGATAGGTATAATTTGACGCTGTTGCATTGGGCTGTGTTGATAAGAATCAAATGACCAGTTGTATGAAGTAGATGATGAGTATCATAAGATAGATCACTGGAGGTGGAGAAGGTTATACATTTTAATGTGGTAAATGGAAACTTGTAATGCGTCGTAGGCAGGCATCTTGTATATAAAAAAAAAATTGCTATCAAAGCTAGATAACACGATTAGCCAATAGATAATAGTGAAAAAAGAGGATATATGGGACTGAACTAGATGAATTGTTAAGGTCGAATTTATTTACAAACCTGTACTGTCTGGTCTGTGTGTACTAGGAGAAAAAACAACAACTGATTTTGATTTTTTAAAAAAAATATTTTGCGTCTCAAAGTTAATTCACAGTGTCAGCATCCTAGTTTATTGATTAAGGGTAAAATAAAATATTTCGTTCTTGTTATTTTATACATGCTAAAAAAAATATATATCTAGTTGGGAAGATTTAACAAGCACACACGGAAGCAATAACCGAAGCTACGTCGCGCGCAGCTACAGTCGTTTTTTAAGGGTAAATTTTTACCCACCTCAGATCAGTGTTAGGGGCTGTTGCCGACAGGGTTGAGCAGTGGCGTCATCTAGATGGGTGCCAACCGCTACAGTCCGGATTGTCAGTTACACAATAGCGCCGTATTCATGGATACAAATTATTTTTGTTTCATTATCACTTTAAAATATATTTATTAGTATACTTTTTTAAAGCGTCGTGATGGGTTAGGGGAGGGGGGGGGGTGTGGGATGGGTTTTCGAGGAACCTGCTAAACTGTGATACAGTTTACTCCCTTTGAAATTTCATCAACTTTTATTATCACTTTAAAATATATTTATTAGTATACTTTTTTAAAGCGTCGTGATGGGTTAGGGGAGGGGGGGGGGGTGTGGGATGGGTTTTCGAGGAACCTGCTAAACTGTGATACAGATTACTCCCTTTGAAATTTCATCAACTTTTATGCCGACGCTAGGTATTGAGATGGGTTATGTCTAAGATCCTAATGAATGTCTGACATCTCGAGAGCATCTTGGCATTAAGTGGGGCCCTTGCATAACATGACGTTCAAATTAACATCTTTAAAAACACCGCCATTAGATTTAGAGCGTGATAAGAAGTTTACTAGCTTGCTTGCAAAATCGTTATCGAATTAACCCCCGATTACTTACCTACATCAATGTACTTCATTCTTGTCCCCCTTTAGATGCTCAAATTACCTCCCTCTAGCAGATAAACGCTTTTGAGAGCCAGTCTGAACAAATCGGTAATAAACACGTAATTTACGAAGCTTTTGTGAGTTTTTAAATTTTGTTTTTAAAATTTCTATTTCAAGATTACGGTATATGCCAGATTTATTCCAAATGATGTCATTTACTCAAAAATTTTGGTACAAAAAATAGATGTTTTTTACATTCTTATCCAGGTGACACGGGCAGTGATTGTGTTCAGGAGACTGAGGAAGGACGACCGCAGAGTTTCCAGTTCTCCAATAACATTGGTCAACATTGGGGAAACTATCAGTGGACGGTCACCATTAAATTTGCTCGAGTCGTGGTGGCCAAGTATGAAGAAGCCAACAAAACAATGGGTAAAGCTATAATCAGCACAACGCTCAACTCTAACAAATCAATAAGTAATGATACAATCAGACTAAAATACAATCTAAAAAAACAGAAGGTAATTAATTATCTAGCCTACCTGATACTTAATCGAACAAAACAATAGGTAAAGGTTTAATCAATATAATACTAAACCTAACGAAACAATTTTTTTTTTTTAAAATAAGGTTAAACCTAAAAAAAAATGAACATACAAAACAAGGAACGTGTCTCGGAAGGAAGCCTTCGTCAGCGAAAAAACAACAGAAAAAAGAAGAATATTTAAAACTATTTAAAAAAGCACTTAGCTGAGGAGTAGTAATCTAGAGAGCATTCTATCTATCTATCTATATATGTGTGTCTATCTGTCTGTTTTTTCTGTCTGTGTACATGTCTATTTGTCTATCCATATATCTAACTAATCTATCCATATATCTAACTATCTTTCTATATATGTATTATTCAATCTTTCTATCTACCTATCTATCTATCTAACTATCTATTTATATGCACACATATTTCACGTAATACGCAAGTTATGTGCCCGAATGGATTCAAATGAAAATAACAATTTAGATTACTATGTAATAAAATTATGTTATAATATTATGTTAGAAAATTATGTTATAATATTACGTTAGAAAATTACGTTCTAATATTATGTTATAAAATTTTCTTATAATAATATGTTATACAAAAAATGTATGTTGCAACATTTTGTTGTAAAAGAAGCGTTGACATTTTAAAGAAAAAAAATAAATATAAAAAAAGGTCAAACATATGCATTAATGCCACGAAATTTTCCTAATCTGAATGTAGGGGTTTGTAGGTCATAAAATGAGACATGTAGGGGTTTGTAGGTCATAAAATGAGACTGATTTATATAGGCCCCATCCCCCCCACCCCCTTCCCATTGTTAATTAATTTAAATTTACAAACACAGTTGCCTTACCCGGATTTTTCGCCACAACTCAACAAAGGACTCCCGTGCCAGGCTGGCAAGCGCAGGATATGTACCTGTACGTTGCCGCGGTCAACAGGAGCATGACCTCCGTCCAGTGCGCGGATTTGGACGACAACTACGCGCTGAGGGAGGTGTACGGATTCTGCAACCTCACCATCTTCGGTAAAGATGTTCAGCCGGTTTTTATTCAATGAGGGTTTTCATTCAAGGCGATTTAATCGATAATATCACAAATCACATCTAATGTTGTTTAACAAATTATTGATTCAAGTTTTCACATGGGGCTTTTTTTTTGCACACCCACTTTTTGCTAGAGATTAATGTTCATTTTAGCATATATAAATATTTAAATCTTTAATTGATATTAAACGTTTTTTGAATTTTGGTTTTATAAGTTTTGAATATTTTATTTGGAAAAAAAAATAAAATTAAACATTCCTATTTAATTAAAGTGAGTCAGAAATTATGACTTTCAAAGATATGTGTGTTCAAACATAAAGACGAAATCACACACGTTTATACAGACTCCCAAGCAGAGCCCACAACACACAGAGACTCCCACAGATAATCCCACACACTGACATCTCTGGGCACTCCCACACTGATTGCAACACAAACTCCCATCTTCCGAAAACACTAAATACCAAACTCTCAATCCTCAACAACAAAACTCGAATTTAATCCCACACAGTGCCCATATAACACTTAATCCCACACAGTGCCCATAACACACTTAATTCTACACAGTGCCCATAACACACTCAATCCCACACATCGCCCATAACACACTCAATCCCACACAGTGCCCATAGCACACTAAATCCCACATAGCACCCATAACACACTTAATCCTACACAGTATCCATAACACACTAAATCCCACACAGCGCCCATAACACACTTAATCACACACAGCGTCCATAACACAGTAAATCCCACACAGTGCCCATAACACACTAAGCCCCACACAGTGCCCACAACACACTAAGCCCCACACAGTGCCCATAACACACTAAGCCCCACACAGTGCCTATAACACACTAAGCCCCACACAGTGCCCAATCCAAGACACGCCAACTCGCCGAGGTTCCCAGGAGAAATCTCCCTAAACTTACTCCCCAAAACGTACCCCATACTCGGGATCCACTCCTCCGCCCCCCCCCCGGCCTTATAAGCAGGTTCCGAAAACAGAGACCTCCAACACAAACTGTCACACATACAACAAAAAAAGAAAAGAGAAAACACACAAATATTTTTTTTACAAATATTAATACCATTTGGCTAGTGTACATCAATGTTCCCTATAAGGTTTGTTGGTTCTTGCGCAAAATCATGCCGTTGTGTGCAAAGTTTTACAGTATGATTTTTTTGTGTGCAAAATTTACAGCCCACAAACACACACTTGCATGGAAATTTGTTGCGCGGGACTCAAAACTGCTGCGCGGCGTCTGTGAGACAGCTGCGCGGCCGCGAAGCTTAAAGGGAACATTGCTGTACATAATATAGCCACGTTATGATGTTAAAAATATGTTCCTGTTTCTTCACTTTTATATATACATATAAAAATACATTGTTTGCAGTCAGACCCAAAACGCCTGATTGTGAGCCACCTGTTTTGGACAAAGATGGACGTTTTATGAGAATTCAATGTCATACATATGTGTTTCCACGGGGCGTCTGCAGCTTTGCGTATGATGTATGTATTCTTTTCGTTAATGACACAAGCTAAACTAAATTTCGGAATACAATTTATTTTACTTTTTCTAAAGTAGGTCACTTACCAAAAAAAAACGAAACGTTTGTTATTTTGTGGGAACAAAAATGTATTACGCTTTTCAAAATAACAAATACTTGTGGTACAGAAGGAAAAAAAAACAACACTTTAAAACATATGTCAGTTGTGTTTTTTTTTTTAATTGCCCTTAATCGATAGACACACTTCAGCCAGTTCGTTGATAAATTTTCATGGATATTTATTATTTCCCCTAGGTGGGGGTAAAGGCAGGGTTCTGACCTTGTTAATGGCAGGGGTCATCTTCCTCCACCCCCCACCCCCCCACTCAACCCTCCGAGAGAAACATAAAAGCAATACGGAAACTGATCGTCAAAAAAGTCAACATAAATTCGTGATTGATGATTTTTTGCTTTTTTTCATCATGACAGAAACCTGAGCCCAGGCCCTTGGAGGGTTACAAGGTCATGTACGACCACGAATACTTGTACGAAGATGATATGTACAGAACCACGTGCACTCTAATGGTGCCTATAAGGGACATCCAGTGGAACAAAAACGCGACAGTTGTGGTGAGTGCCGCACCTAACATCACCAATTACCAAAACTACACTGTCAGCAGCAAGGTGACTGCTTCTTTGTGGATAGGTGAGCGCACTTTGGTGAAGTATTTAATGTGGGACTTTGTCTTGGATTTAATGTTGGATTTTGTCTTGTATTTAATGTTGGACTTTGTCTTGCATTTAATGTTGGACTTTGTCTTGTATTTAATGTTGGACTTTGTCTTGTATTTAATGTGGGACTTTGTCTTGTATTTAATGTTGGACTTTGTCTTGTATTTAATGTTGGACTTTGTCTTGCATTTAATGTTGGACTTTGTCTTGTATTTAATGTTGGACTTTGTCTTGTATTTAATGTGGGACTTTGTCTTGTATTTAATGTTGGACTTTGTCTTGCGTTTAATGAGGGACTTTGTCTTGTATTTAATGTGGGACTTTGTCTTGTATTTAATGTTGGACTTTGTCTTGTGTTTAATGTGGGACTTTGTCTTGTATTTAATGTTGGACTTTGTCTTGTATTTAATGTTCGACTTTGTCTTGTATTTAATGTGGGACTTTGTCTTGTATTTAATGTTGGACTTTGTCTTGTGTTTAATGTGGGACTTTGTCTTGTGTTTAATGTTGGACTTTGTCTTGTATTTAATGTTGGACTTTGTCTTGTATTTAATGTTGGACTTTGTCTTGTGTTTAATGTTGGACTTTGTCTTGTGTTTAATGTGGGACTTTGTCTTGCATTTAATGTTGGACTTTGTCTTGCATTTAATTTTTGTCTTTGTCTTGTATTTAATGTGGGACTTTGTCTTGCATTTAATGTTGGACTTTGTCTTGCATTTAATGTTGGACTTTGTCTTGCATTTAATGTTGGACTTTGTCTTGCATTTAATGTTGGACTTTGTCTTGCATTTAATATTGGACTTTGTCTTGCATTTAATATTGGACTTTGTCTTGCATTTAATGTTGGACTTTGTCTTGTATTTAATGTTGGACTTTGTCTTGTATTTAATGTTGGACTTTGTCTTGTATTTAATGTTGGACTTTGTCTTGTATTTAATGTTGGACTTTGTCTTGTATTTAATATTTAATGTTGGACTTTGTCTTGTATTTAATGTTGGACTTTGTCTTGTATTTAATGTTGGACTTTGTCTTGTATTTAATGTTGGACTTTGTCTTGTATTTAATGTTGGACTTTGTCTTGTATTTAATATTGGACTTTGTCTTGTATTTAATATTGGACTTTGTCTTGTATTTAATATTGGACTTTGTCTTGTATTTAATGTTGGACTTTGTCTTGTATTTAATATTGGACTTTGTCTTGTATTTAATGTTGTACTTCATCTTGCATTTTATATATTACCTACTCGATAAATTAGCGAGTCAGCCATACAGTGGTTAAAACAGTCATGGAAGATAATTATTAAACTTTATTACAATACTAATTTTTAAAGACATTTCTCTAACTCTGAACCAAATGTAATTTAATTTATTTATTATTTTAAAATGTTTGTACTTTAATGTGTTTTGTACTTTAATATGTTTGACATTTAAAAAAAAATACTTTTCAGTCAGACCCACAACTCCTTTCTGCGAGGTGACCCCTTTCAACATAGATGGACGCTTTTTTGAAGTATCATGCCATACATATGTGTTTCCGAGTGGAACTTGCACATTTGTATATGATGTATGTATTGTAGCGAAGTGATAAGACATAAGAAACTGAATTTCTACATTGTGGGGCTAATGATGGGTGCCACTAGAAGCCATTACGTTTTGTATGGTTCAATGTCAACTTTGTAAAGGGGATCACTTATGGCACTAGAAGCCATTAAGGTTTGTATGATTCAATGTAAACTTTGTAAAGGGGGTCACTTATGGCACTAGAAGCCATTAAGGTTTGTATGATTCAATGTAAACTTTGTAAAAGGGGTCATTTATGGCACTAGAAGCCATTAAGGTTTGTATGATTCAATGTAAACTTTGTAAAGGGGGTCACTTATGGCACTAGAAGCCATTAAGGTTTGTATGATTCAATGTAAACTTTTTAAAAGGGGTCACTTATGGCACTAGAAGCCATTAAGGTTTGTATGATTCAATGTAAACTTTGTAAAGGGGGTCACTTATAGCACTAGAAGCCATTACGATTTACATGATTAAATGTAAACCCTATAAAGTGAGTTAATTTTACCACTAGAAGCCATCACAGTTATATAATTCAATGTCACTTCGTAAAGTGGGTCGCGCACAAGAGAAATGCCCTTAAAGGAAAAAAAAGATATAACAAAATACCTCTTGAAATATGATATGCTTCTGTCCATTAAAGCAGTTTCAATGTTTGACTAAGTGGATGACTATTAAAATGTGTTAAAATAAAAAAATAATTATAATATATTATGTGTATATATTAATAAGAATGCAAAACATCGAAACACTTACCCATGAACGTAAGGTTACAAAAAAAAAAAGAAATTAAAAGATTGCCAATGTTTGATACTTATCTATAATTTCAAATAAATATTATAATTTTTACACAAGGAAGGCAATTACGTGATCTAATCCTATATTTAGAATCGAATGCCGTAAACACTATTTTGCTTAAGTATTCGAAATATCAAATGTATTGACGGTAGCGTTATGTCATTGGTCCTTCAACTTCCACTAATTTTGATTGTTGCATAGAAACCGAACCATCAGTATCCTTCAATGTTAAACCAGTGATACGTGCGTTTTGATTTTTATATATTTTTTTGCTTTTTTTATTGTTACTTTTTCCTTGGGTTTTGGTCATATACATTTGTTTGTTGTTCTTGTTGTTTTGTTTTAATTTTTTTAAGGGTTGGAGTGTTATAGCCTATAAAGTTCCGAGAAATGCACAAAGGAAAAAATTGAATCTGATTGTCATACAATTCCAAAAATTCTAACATATCAACATTAAAGGAATTTTACTTAAGGTTTTGTGTAAACCCACAGCAGAGAACGCAGCGTGTCCCGTTCGAGGGCTATCAGGTCAAGTACGACCACAGATACTCGTACGCCACTAATCTGTACGAAACCACGTGCTCCCTGATAGTGCCTGTTCCGAAGACACCGCTGCCGAACACAAACTTGACGTTTGAAGTGAGTGTCGCACCTAACGTAACGGATTACAGAAGTTACACGGCCAGCAGTAACTGGAATATTCCCTTATGGTCAGGTGAGTGCACATGGTCTTGAAATACAGTGTGTGTTGTGAACGTGGTCCATTTGAAACTTTGCCTAAAAACGAACAAACAAACAAACAGAAAAAAAGACAAAAAAAGGGTTGTGTTTAAGGGATACTATTACAAAAGTGTTCATTTTTCATCTGCATCGCTAATAATTGTTCTTAATTCAGTAAAAAAATCCTAGAAATTTGCTTTCTTGGTTACGAAAAATATGTTAAGGTGAAATGCTGAGGGCGGGAAAATGAGATCAGTGCTGATGGCAAGAGAATGATCGTTTGTAGAAGTAATGATGAGAGTGGGAATATGATCTTCACAGAAGCAGTGCTGATGGCAAGAGAACGATCGTTTGTAAGAAGTAATGATGAGAGTGGGAATATGATCATCACAGAAGCAGTGCTGATGGCAAGAGAACGATCGTTTGTAAGAAGTAGTGATGAGAGTGGGAATATGATCATCACAGAAGCAGTGCTGATGGCAAGAGAACGATCGTTTGTAAGAAGTAGTGATGAGAGTGGGAATATGATCATCACAGAAGCAGTGCTGATGGCAAGAGAACGATCGTTTGTAAGAAGTAGTGATGAGAGTGGGAATATGATCAATGGCAAGAGAACGATCGTTTGTAAGAAGTAGTGATGAGAGTGGGAATATGATCATCACAGAAGCAGTGCTGATGGCAAGAGAACGATCGTTTGTAAGAAGTAGTGATGAGAGTGGGAATATGATCATCACAGAAGCAGTGCTAATGGCAAGAGAACGATCGTTTGTAAGAAGTAGTGATGAGAGTGGGAATATGATCATCACAGAAGCAGTGCTAATGGCAAGAGAACGATCGTTTGTAAGAAGTAGTGATGAGAGTGGGAATATGATCATCACAGAAGCAGTGCTAATGGCAAGAGAACGATCGTTTGTAAGAAGTAGTGATGAGAGTGGGAATATGATCATCACAGAAGCAGTGCTGATGGCAAGAGAACGATCGTTTGTAAGAAGTAGTGATGAGAGTGGGAATATGATCATCACAGAAGCAGTGCTGATGGCAAGAGAACGATTATTTTTTAAGGAGCGGTGCTGCATGCGGGAAAATAATCACTGTAGGAGCAGTGCTGAGAGCGGTAATCATTAAAAGAGCAGTACTGAATGTGAGTGCATGATGGACCAGTTTTTATCAACGTCCCAGGATGTTATGTAATTAATATTTATTTTTAAAAGGTTTAAACCCTGGATCGTGCCCACACTTTACTTGTGTTTTCCGAAGAGTGGGGTGGGGTGGGGATGTTAATGCCATAATATTAACCCACACTCCCAAATAAAAGAAAAAGTTAATACATTAGGCGACTGTATCATATTTCGACTATTCCAGGCGCACCTGTGTTCACCTCCTTCACCGCCAACAAGAGGACGGGCACCGTTCACTACAACGAAGGGGACAACATCAAAATCCTCTGCACGGCCATCGCGACACCGACGCCGAGGATGAGCCTGCTAGACGCCAAGGGCGTCACCTTGTACGTCAGCGACGTGCCCGGCGCCCTGGACTACACCATCTACAACATAACCTGCGGACGGTCGGAGGCGTACACCTGTGTGGCGGAGAGTTTGTTGAGCAGTTCGGATCAAATCAAATCTGTGGGGAGCTGTAAGTCCATATATAAAATAAAAAAACTTTGATTCGGGAAGAAATGTATCATTCTGATCCTCGGGATGTTACCATATCAATCTTTAAAACAACCCAAAACGTCCTTTAAAGAAATTGAAAAGCAATTTTTAAAAAGTTTTTGTTAAAATAAAAGAATTAATTTCTTTACCTCTTATTTTTTTTTCAAAAAAAGCTTTGGGGCTTGTGGTTTGAATATTAAATAGTGCATAGACTGTAACTTTTATGGTTTACGGTAAAACTTATTAAAACGAACTCCATGGACACTTAGGCTTTATTTTTTTTAAAAAAAAAGCAGCATTCATGAATAAATGTTAAACATATCCTAAGAGCAAGATGTAACCATACCTACGCCATTGACCAAAAAAAAACACACAAAAAAAAAACACGAAAACAATAGAGTTTAGAGGGTTTATCAGACTGCATTACTTGTATTGTCGCTATTTATAGGCAAGTTTTGTCGTAAAACAATTCCTCTAACAATGTGAGTCAGTGTCAATATGTAGCAAAATCAATGTGTTTGTAAAATCGTTCGTAATATAAAGTTTCAAACAAGTGCACATGTAAGTTAAGACCCCGCCACGCTTACGTACATGAACATAAAAGTAGCAAACAGCTGTTGAGACATCGCCCAAACGAAATACTCCTATGTTCAATTAATATATATTCACCATTAAATAAAAGCGCTATTGACTTTAAGCTGTCTACAATCAATTTCAGACCTATAATTTTATCCAGTTAGTTATATCCAGTGTTTTCTTTATATCCACAGGTCCTTCCAGTTCAGGCAGCAGTAGCAGCAGTAACGTTCCGGTGTTAGAAATTTCTATTTCTGTCATCGGAGCATGTGTCGCACTTGTCGCCATAATTATAGCTGTACGAACCTGCAAACGACGGATGTCAAACAGCAGTGGGCCACCACTACGCCTCACCACCGCAGAGAGACGCAACGGGTACTCTCAGATGACAAATGAAGCGCACACTTCACCGGGACTCCATCAGCCAATCACAAGGGCTGGCAACATTCCAAGCCGTCCTCAACAAGGCAACAGGGGAGCACTGTTTATAATCCTTGCCGCCTCATCACGCACTCCTGGAACGGGCTTCGAGTATAACAGGTCAACCACGATAAACGGCCAAGAGCCTTGGTCGCGCGTGCACAACACGGCAGCGTCCCCTCCCCCTTACGACCTACCATCCAACCCACCCCCTGAATACATGGAGATCCGGACCCAGCGAGCCAACCCGTCACTGTACGATGACCGACCCCCGGAATACACCTTTGCGGGTTCCATGGATGCATAACTTTATTTAGTTGTGACACTGTTGTACCCGTACACGAACCTAATGGACTCACATCCAACGAACCTTGTCATTTCTCTTAAATGTTATGATTTTTTTTTCCCGATCACCATATCCTAATTTAACCTTCCTTTGGTGTCTATATCTATTGCTACACTCCTCAGGGCTTGTGTCACTAATAGTCGTTCTGACTTTTAACTACAAACTTTTGCGTCGTAATATAGGACACAATGACATCCTTCAGTGCCTTACCGATTGGAGGGCCACCATTTTACCATGTGAAAAACCACACGAAGCATTTTAAAGATTTTTTTGAAAGGATTATTTTTTTATCCGATAAAGGAAATACGTTTCCTCTCGTTTGTTTGTTTTCATAGAGAGAGCATATTATTTAGGAAACATTTAATATAAACATTTCGATTGTTGATCTTATATTTATTGTAAAACAAATGTATATTTAACCTTTTTATTGTAATACAAATTATATATTAGTTGACCTATTTATTGTAATGCAAATATATAATTAATATATTTATTATAATACATATATATATATATAGTTGGCCTATTGATTGTACAATTTATCCTACACACGTGATTCTCCACGGGGGGGGGGGGGGGGGGGGGAATAAACCGTTTTAGATGTTCACGTGGGCAAAAAAGTATGTTTTGAAAAGATTGCTACGCATAAAATCGCGAATTCATGCATTGAATATTAAATTGACCAGGAAAAAAAAACTCTGAAGTATTCGAGAACATTTATATCAAACTTTATAGTACATTTGTGTAAAAAGCGTGTTGCTCCTTAAATTATTTTTTATATATCGTTGTATTATTCATAATTCTGTAACAACTCAGAATATAATTAGAGGGGAAATTTTTTTTTTATGCACACTTTATTATAATTTTTGAAAGTCGTGTTTTTAACACAAAAAGTTAAAAAAAAAAAGTAAATATTATTCGGCGACCGATCTTAATAAGAGTTTATGTAAATGAACAGAAATTTAATGAGTGAGTCAAGCGATTGAAACCGAACTGCGGATCAGATTGCATTGTCATGGTGAGGATATAAATATTTATTAAAATGTCAATTGAATTATGGCATGAGAAAAAAATGAAGCTAATGCGGACAGGCAGCACTCAAGAAAATATAATAGATATATATTTTTTTTTACTTTATGTGTATTGGCCAGGGCAATGGTTCTCAGTCTGTTGGTCACATTGATGCGTCATCTGAAAAAGAGAGTGGGCTAAAGAGAATTTTTTAAAAATGTGATGGATTTTGTGTGTCTTATCATCGCTGAAAAATCACACTTTTTAAAAAAAAATATTGATATTGATGACATTAAAATTATATACGATTTTGATGATTTAAAAAAAATGTATATTTAAAAAAATTGTATTTTATTTGGTATGTGTGTATAAAATTTCAGGTATTTGAATTTATCAAAAACTTTTAGGCGGTGTTTTCGGATCACCCAGCACCTTCACTAAAACACTTCACCCTAATGTGGCCCTGGTTTCTGCTTCAAAAGTGCAACACCAACAACATTTTTAAATAAAAATAATAATACAAAAAAAAAAAAAAAAAAAAAAAAAAAAAAAAAAAAAAAAAAAAAAAAAAAAAAAATTCAGCAATTTATTCTCGATTTCCAGGTAATATTCTATATGTTTGTGCCAAAAACTTCGCAAGTGATACCAAGGTGACGCGGTGCTAAAAAATTTAAGAACCGTTGGTTTAGTGTTATATTTTGTTAGTGTTATGAAGGTAGATGTCCTTACATGGGCTTTTAACTTTTCTCAATTGTTTGCCAACATTTCTCTTTTTCTATAGATGATTCATGACCTGAAATATCCAGATTTGGACTCGGACACTTCGCGTAATGTCTCAAAATACCCGGAACTAAAACCCGGAAAAAACCTGTCCCCGGGTGTCAGCCCTATTCCAAATAGCGTTGTATTATTGCACAAGCTGTGTCTTTCAGACAATTTCCCTCGGGTGGCATCTCAAAATTTCGGGAGGTGGCAGAGGTATAGCTAAGGGGCGGAGGATGGGGCTGAAACCCTGGGTGCCAGACTAGTAAGGGCGCAAAAATTAGCCTTTGGGGATATACAATGGTTGAAAATAATGAGTTTTAGTCACTACTATTCAGAGCTCAAAGACAAACCCAAATACCTTAAAAAGTCACTACCAGTCAGAGCTCACAGACTAAGTGCCTTAAAAAGTCACTACCAGTCAGAGCTCAGAGCAGCTTGAATTTCCTTAGAAAGTCACTCTCGTCAGAGCTCAAAGCAACCTATATATATCCTATGTCAGTAAGTCATTACCAGTCAGAGCTTACAGCAAACCTTAATACCCTAAGTACGAAATTTAGAGCAACAACAAGTCGGCATTCCTGCTCTTATGTCACAAAGCAAAGAAATTACTTTTGATGGTGAAGCAGTCAAAGGTTGTTTTTGTATAGCGCAGCAACTGTTACGAATGCTGTACTCCTTAACTCCCTTGATTTGGACCACGTCCACTCGATAATTATTATAACCGATTGTACAAAGAATAAATTGTTCGTTATGTGACTTACATGAAAATGTCTATAAATATATGATATCCTTGTAAATATCTTACAATCCTGTGGACAATTTTTCCCGTGGAACACTCGGAAATTTGTGTCCCGTAGAACCTTGTGCAAGTTCAATCCCGTAGAACCATGTGCATTTTCTATCTGTAGAAACATGTGCATTGTTTATCCCTTAGATCCTTATGCAAGTTCTTGCCTGTTATGCAGTGGTTATTTCCATTTAAAAAAAACATAAATTTAAAAAATAAATTTAATAAATGAAAGAAAATGAAATAGAAACATTTCAAGAGACATTACTTTTTTGTGTCTCTTTGAATAATGTCAATTACAATTATTTTTTTTTAGAATACCAAAAATTGGTTGCAGCACTGGAACGCTTCTTCTGTCAGTTCGCGGTGAATATTAGTAAAACAAAAATTTACATTTCACAAATTGTTAGCACACTGTTGATAATTTGTTTAATAATATTGATAACATGTGATTTTAATTTCCCTAATGGCCCCGCGGTTGGAACTTTCAACCTTTCGGCAAGTTCCGCTGTGCGGGTAACATCGGAAAGTTTAGAGAACATAGTACTACTGACACGTTTGAATGCTAGGTACTTGCTGTGGTATTCTCTGGCACTGGATGAGTCTAATAATCTTTTGTGTACTTCACACCGTCTCGTGTTTATTCGTCGTGTCATTTTGGACTTAAAGATAACTGAAGAGTTGGTATCCGCTCCCATAATTTCAAAGTGTACTATGCATTGAACTTTCATACTTTGAAAGTGTATAATGCATGGAACATACATAATTTTAAAATGCTTACTGTTTGGAGCATTCATACTTTCAAAGTGTATAATGTTTAGGATATTCATACTTCTAAAGTGTAAAACGCTTGGAACATCTATACTTTCAAAGTGCGTAATGTTTGGAAAATCCATACTTTTAAAGTGTATCCTGTTTGTAACATTCATACTTTCAAAGTGTTTAATGTTTGGAATCCATAATTTAAAAGCGTATAATGCTTTTGCCATGTACCTAGAATGATTAAGAGCTCCATGGGCCATGAAAAGCTCATAAATAGGGGTCTGTCAGTATTTTGACACACAGAACATATTTTAACTGCTCTATAAAGTACGTAAAACACAGAATATATTTCTACTGCTCTAAGAAGTATGTTGACAAAAAGAACATATTTTTATTGTCAATGAAGTATGTTCAAAACCAAAACATATTGTTACTGCTCTATGAAGTATGTTGACACACAGAACCTAGTCATTTTCTTCATGTTCCGGCTCTCAATTAAGTGGTAACAATAAACTCTGAAGTCACTCTGTTCCCAGTTAAATATTAGTTTTGAATTTTGAATTAAAATGATTGTTAAGGATATACTAAGTTAATATTCCCAGGTAGACGACTGAAACCTATAATAGAGTGAGAAAGATAGAGAGAGAGAGAGAGAGAGAGAGAGAGAGAGGAGTGAGAGAGAGATTTGAGATAGTGAGAGAGAGTGGGAGAGAGAGGGGGGAAGAGAGTGGGTGTGGGTAGGAGAGAGAGGGAGAGAGAGAAAGAAGGAGGGGGGAAAGAATAGGAAAGACAGAGAAGTAGGCAGATGACAATGTGTACCTTGATCAGGTGTTAGCTGTTAAGCTAGCTATGATGTACGTGTGGAGATTCATGAGTAAATGAGAAAGAAACAAATTGAGTTTATAAAGTAATCAATGTTAAGCTTTAATTATGTTTACACAACATATAAAATACAAACGTTTCAGCTAATATCTTCATAAGTACAAACAAAAATATGAAATGCATTAAATTTACATTATGTCTACATTTTACATATTTACATATTTATATAACTATAAATGAAAGCACAAAGGTACAATGGGAATTGGCGCATGTCTCAGAAGATCAGAAGAACGGAAAGGAACTAGATGAAACTACATTATACAAACCAGAAAGAAAAATGCTGCGATCTAAAATTTTGACTTTGTCTTATGACTTTAAAGTAAAGTCATTATCCTTAAATTTTAAAGACAGTCATTTGAATCATTTTTTTTTTTTTTTTGAGGAAAGAAAACAATATTTTTATGTCTTTTTTTTATTATTAAGCTAATTGTAAAAATATTTTTGTCCGTTTGGGTCAAATTTAACATCTCTATTTTGACCCATTTCCTGGCCTTCAGCTCAGATGAAACTTTGTACACTTGCCCACCCCAATAATAACATAACCCTTCTAGATGCGTAAGTTACCAGTAGCCTCCACTGAGCCTTGATTGATCCCTGATGGTCTAATCTTACATAGCAATTGTTACCCACTTCCTGATCTCAAATTAAGCTGAAATTTTGTTAACCTTTTACTCAATAAAATACAAAAGGAAACAATGAAAAACTACTTTAAGAAAACGTTAAAAAAGTTTGAAAATTTAATAAAAAGTATAAAATAAACCGTCCCTTTAGAATAATAATGTTCTAATTCAATTTTTCTATAAAAATGAGTTATTTCCCATGTGCAAAAATTAATTAACCCCCCTATCATGGTTCAAATGATGAAAGCTTTATCATGAGCTGATTTTGCAGGAAATAGAAGTAACAAGGTTCTCACTCGATGTTGGTTTTTTAACAGAGAATAAAGCAAATCTAATGTTGTTTCAACAGTTACTAATTAGGGTGAACCAATAAAATTCAGCTTGTAACTTGAGATCGGTACATTTAGCCAATCATAAGGCTTGTAATGTACCGTTGTTTCAATTACTGATTGTTTACATTCAAAATTGCGGACACCTCAATAGAGAATATTTAATCAAGCGAATATGATACTGATAGCAGTGACTGATTTGATCCATTGCCATGTGACAGTTCATCTGACAAAGGGAGTGATGATGAGATGCAAGTATTATTATTTGTTTTGTTTTATGCGTATATATATATATATAAAAAGGTTTCCTAAATATAAAGTATCTACGTCTGAGTCACTGATGAAACGAGTTCAGTTCAGTAAGCGACTAAGTCTAGTAATGTTTAAAAATAACTAGTGCTGATACTG